ATCACATCCTTTGGTGGGGTTTTCGATGAGGCTAAGACTCATGGCAGTGTGGTTTAGTGTTTAATGTGCTAAGATCATACCAATGGTTTGAGTCCAAGTGAGAGAGTGCTGACTGCGAGGTCGAAGCTGCAGTTTACCCTGGATGAGAACACCTTTTGCGAAAGCAAGGCTATATAAAATTCGATGGAAACGTCAGCTATACTCATATCATTGTGGAGAAATTCAACTACCAGTCCTTTATCACCTTAAACGAAATTGGGCAAATACATTTTATATGGATGAATCAATGTCCTTGCAGGAAGAATGTTTAACGTTCTAGCGGATAGTCTTCGGTAGATGGATCAAGTCGTAACAGTAAAGAAGAGGATTAAGCGCTCCCCACGGCGCCAATAGAGCCAGGAGACAAGTGAGGACATACATAACAAGTAATTCTCACTTATTATACGGCAGTATGCTGGGACTTCAGTGTAGAAGAGCTCATCGTAAGAGCTGCAGTTATCCTATTTGGTTGAAAGTGATCAAGGTTTGGAATTTGAATTTTCCCACAATTACATGAATAGACCTTAAGTTCCCATTGAATTTCACATGACCTTGCTTCACAAAAGGTATCCCCATTCAAGATGGACTATAGTCTCGACCTCACCTGTGCCCCATCAGCACTGTCGAGGTTCGAGTCCCGATGAGGGTGCTGTGAGACCAGTTGAGGAGAGGTCAAAATTGCAGTCCAATCCAGCCTGGCTGAGAATACTTTAGGGGAGTAAGGCTGTGTGAAATTCCCCAGAAACGTAAGGCCTGTTCATATGATTGAGGCAAATGCAACTATCCATCCTTGGTCACATTAAACAAAATAAGGTGAATACAGCTCTTATATCAGATCTGCTAGTGATCATGAAAAACCTACTTATAAAACGAGAACGAAGCCTAGTAGTCTATCTAGTGTTTGCCCTGAGACTGTGATTTAACCGGAGAACTAAGACCTCCGAGGTAGACGAAAATTTAATCAGGAAACGTTTGTTAATCACGAGAGCCAGTTAAGGAAGCCCCTCTGGGTTCCTGGACAGCATTACAAGGAGCAGAGAGCTGCACCTAATCACCTGAGTTGGCCTGAACAAGCATATTTTTGATCAACAGATAGAGCCTATCCCAGATCGGATTTCAATAGGCAATTCGATATGGTTCGGAGATGGTAAATTATGAAGCGTGGTAGAGGAATTAAACGGAGTCCCTTTATGCAGGCTCTTATGAGGATATGAAAATGTGTGTAACACAGCCTATTTGCAGCCTGACAGGAACGAAATGCGCCTGAACCCTAGGTGGAGGATTCCCCTCGCAAGCTTCAAGGCTCGAGTCCATGCTAGTCGACAGGCTCCAATCAACCTGTGGCCTAGTAGACACACGGAATCAGGCACACTCACTGGAGTTCTTCGTTGCTGGCCCGCCCAGAGGTCAGTTGGGCGAACAGGCGCTTCGTCTCTTCCGTCATTAGAAAGGCCGGCAGACAGGCCTCGAGGGTGCAAAGTCCGAGTAGCACTTGCAGGTAGATCGGTCGGGGCCATGCATGGAAGTCGAGGCGATCTCTGCTAGGACCGAGGGAGTTTGGCCAAAGTGCAGCGAGAAAAAGAAAGAAAAAAACAATGCAGTCCAGAAATAGGATATATATGCATATGTACACATACATACACACACACATATATATATATATATAATCTTTTCATGTCCAATTAGGCAATAATGCTTGCCTGTTTGTGCATATGTGTAGGCGTTTTGGGCTAAGATTGGATATGAATAGATGAGATGAAACGAATTGTACAAAGATAACAAATAAAAGTAGTTCAGAGCGAAGAGCGCGGAAGACTTATGAAGCCGGCTGAGAAAAAGAACTTACTCAAGCAGTTCACGCAGACCATCTACCAGAAAGAAGATGATAAGCATCAGCAAGTGGCGGAGACGAAGATGGGCTGGAGTAACGACTCGCCCTTCAGAGGTATCCAGATTGTAGCATCCGAGCAGAAGACATAGCTCGGCGTGCATGGTGGTCAGGTGACCGAGCAAACTACGGAAGCAGCTGAGCGCACCTGTACCAAAAGTGGGAGGTGTGAAGAGAGGGAGGAACAATAAAGAAGTCTGGATGAAATGGAGGGCTGCAGCTGTTTTGTCCCTTGACCCGTCTTAGCCGTTCGATGCGCCTTCAGCTTATACGTACCTTTAAAGCTGATAGCCCCATCTTTTCATAGTCGGTTTGTGGCCACCACCACAGAGGTTGTGGAATATTTTATTTGCCCGAATCCAAAAGTATTAAAAATTCACCAGATACTCCAATTTGGGTAAAAAGCAAAAATTAGCGACCAAATTGAATTCAGCCGATTGCCTAAACGAAATGTGTAAACAATTAATAGGTACTGCCACACTTCAAAAGTGAAAAAAAATACGCGAAATCTAAGCTTAAACTAAGAAATAGGGAAAGGTGATGATGATAATGATGAGCAGTTATATTAACGCCATCAAGATTAATCTCATGTTGACTCAGTATAAATGAAGAATAGCTAAAATAAGGAAAAGGTAACTTTATTCGAAGTAATAGCTAACTCTTTTGATAATGAGAATGAAGAGGCGGTTTCGACAATTCATATCACAAAGAAAATGAAAGACACGCGATACATTTTAAGCAATTAGGACAAAATAAAGTATATGCATTCACTCTTTTTCGTTTAAGGTGATCAAGGACGGATAGTTCAATTTTCCCACAATCATATGAGTAAAACTGACGCTTCAATTGAATTTCATATAGCCCTGCTTCCCAAAAGGTGTAATCTTCCAAAGTTGACTGCAGTTACAAACTCGCCTAGGTCTTATCAACATCCCTAAAGGGATTCAAACAATGACAGTGCAGTGTGTAATCTCGACAAGTTGACCACGAATACCCTATGGACAGTCAGGACAGATGTGAATCTCAAGGACGGCTGGGCATTTTTATATATCAGTTTCCGTGGTGGGATAGTCGATGAAGCAGTTATATTTGCTAAAACAATAGACTACATTATTAACTTTTCGCTTATAAGTATGGCTTCGAGACTACCAGTAAATCGGATGTATGAAATGTATTCAGTCTATTTCGTTTAAGGTGAACTGCAAGATTTTATCATATCATTGTGGAAAAATTCAAATATCAAACCTTCACCAACATAAACGATAGAGGGTGAATAAATCACATACATCTGATTTACCGGTTGCCTCGAAACCCTACCAATTAACTAAAAAGCAAATAAAATAAAAATATGAAGACCAAGATGGGCTGGCTCTGGTGTGGTAGCAGATTGCTTTCTATTTATAGAAATAGGTTAACCTCGTTGTCGCAACTTGGTCTTGTTGTCTGGGCGACTTAGTGGAACGCAAATAGTCCGAAGTCGTCTGCCATAGTAGTTGTCATGATTCTCAGCATCAGAAAGTGGACTTGGCACATTCTCAAAAGTTTCGCCGGCATCATCAGTGAGTTTTGCCATTCTCCGCACCAAGCTAGGAACTCGTCAAAGAGACAAGTGAAGTCA